AAAAAAAAAAAAAAAAAAAAAAAGGAAGGAGAGCTAGAAATAAAATAGGGAGATAGAAATAAAATTAATCATTCAGAAGCAAGGGCTAGGAAGTCTTTGCCAGCAAAGGCATGACTCATCCCAACAAGAAAGAGGCAATCTGCCTGGAAGCTGAAGCCTCTGGGACTTCAGGAGTGCTGCTCAGCCCACGCACAACATGAGGATGAGRGCTGAGAATCCAGGCAATATTCATGAAACCATGAGTGCCAAGTTCCCAGCAAGAAGAAGAGACTGGCTCATGATGGGGTTTTCAGGCTTGGAAATTTCTTTTTAGTTATTTGGGGTGTGGGCTTGATCTTGGATTTTTAAAAAAATTTATTTGTGGACACAAACATGATGCCAATGCCTGGACTTCAAAGAAATATCTCCTTGTCTCGTGGCAATTTAATGCCTGAATCTTATGAAAATTTAAAATTAAAATAAATYCCAAACTATTAAGAGCTCTTGCTCAGGAATAAGAACCAAAAATAAGCAAAATTAAACTCCGGAAGCACTTTCAGAAGTTTCATCTAAGACACAGACATGCAAATTTAGCTGCAGCAGGGAAAGCATCCTAGAAACACCTTCCCACGCCCTGCTTGATAGTCAAATGCTCATGTAAATACCTTTGTGTCACAAGAGTCTGTGTCACCTCCCCAAAGGAAGCAGGTTTAGACACTGAAGTGCTGTGCACAGCAGGATGGAACTGGTGTTGACACAGGCTCAGCATGGAGCCAGGCAGCCTCTCCTCCCAAAAGCTGCACTTGCACAGGAGGGACAGAGGGAAAACACAAATTCTGGATCTGCCTGGCCTCCCCTGCAAGCACTCACACGTCTGAGTGTCCTGATGGATCTGGGGGACACTCCTGCTGCAGGCAAGGGTTGGTTTTATGGTTTCCCCTGGGGGAGGGCAGTGAAAACACCTGGGAATGCTTCCACTTCAAACAAAGTTTTACAGCGAGCTGATGACTTAAACAATACATGGAATTTAACCCTGAACAGAAAACTATYCTTCCTCTGTGAAACTGAAAGGACATCTTAGAATAAGCAAATATTTGACCTACATTTTTGAGCTTTTTAGAATACAAGTGAGTTCTCMTGGTTTGTGTTAAACTTAAAACCTTTCCTGCATGTCAGCTGTGGGCCCCAAGCTCTCTTTTCTGTAAAGCAACATTGCCTTGATACTTAAAACCTGCTGAAAGGTTAAAAGAGACCGAAAGGTCTGCACTGAACTTTGTATGTGCCATCCTCAATTTATAATGCTCTGCTCCTACATAGGTTTGGACATAACTCACTTCACAGCATTCCTGGCAGGAGAGGTGGGGCAAATAAAGATAAGGATCACACCCCAAGGAGCCATATAGCCAGGAACAAATGCCTAATGCTGGGGCAGAATTACACAACCCAGATTTCATGTCAGCCAGAGCTGCAATATCTTCCCATGTGTACACACTGCCCTTGCAGCTAAGGAGAGGTCTTTCACTGCCATTTAGCTTTCACTAAAGAGCGGTTGAGTTAATGTGTAGTGGTTTATTAGTCACACTAATATCATCAGTGAAACATCAATGGGTGACCCTGCTCCCCACAATACCCACAATGTGAACAAGAAAGGCACAATACAGCTTTGAAAGGTGATTTAATGCCTCTACTTACACCTCAAAATTCCCCTACAAGATACTTCGCCATCTCCAGGAGAAGGAACTTAGGAACTCCAGTACTTACTTGCAGTTTTCAGAAGCTCTCCTCTCTGCTAAGGACCCTGGGATGTATTTCAGCCCTGGTATTCTCCTTAGAAGAGTGAAAGGGAACACYCGGTCCAGCTTAGAGCCCACCGACTCGGGAAAATCCAAGCAGAAACAGTAGCCAAAACCATCTGAAATCAGGAGCACTTAAGGACAACTGAGGACAAAACACACTTCTGACACRGCCACACAGAAGCCCCCTCTACCCACAAACCACTTTCCCTGGRGAATTCTCCCAGTTCTRTCCAGTGCCACCTTCAGAGATCGTYGCCCTCCTCAGCTCCATGTTCTCTGCACGCACTGAGGGGGGTCAGTGTGAGGTGAAACACCAATGCAGAATGGGATGGGATGAGGATGAGCAAAGCCAGTGAGTGTTTAACACACAGCTAGAGCCCAGGAAAAGCCAGTGCACCTCAGCAATGAGAACCACAGCCCTTCATTCCCACCATGATCCTACTCTGGCTCATGGCATCCCACTCGGAAAGGATACAGGCTTCCCCAACCAGGAGCCCACACAGGTTACCCAAGAGAGAAGAGTGGGGGATAAACCAGGCTATGCAGAGCCCAAACCATGGCACCAGCACCACGGGAACTCTGTACCCCAAAACCATAGTCCTCTTCATGCGTGAGCGGGTGGTGGAAACCCCCAGCGTGGCAAAAGCCACTGGCATGAACCCTTGGGCATCTCCCACTTCCAGCAGCCTGGAGACGAGGGGCTCGAGGAAGAGGTACAGGAGGGCGGAGAGCACGGAGAAAGTGGCGGTGAGGATGCAGTGCTTCACTGTGCCCACGTTCTTCTCAAAGCTGCCAGCRAAGTACCAGATGATAACGGCACCACAGGTCAGGGAGATCAGGTCCTCGTAGATGAAGATGTAGGTGATCAACCTGTGAACTGAGCAGAGCAGCACCTCAGCGCTGGAGTTGCTATAAAACACTTACATGCTTGAGCAGAGGGAGAGTGAGCCCACAGGATTAATTAATAGCTTTCATATCTACCCAGACATAGAAGAGAAAGAAATGGAGGCCTTTAAAACCAGGCGTAAATAACCAAATGGAGTGAAAACAAGTGCTATCTTGGGTGTCACAAACATATGGGCTGGMTCTTGCTGCTTCCTGGGAAGCTGCCTGGAAAAAAGCAACAGCATCTGTAGTAAATTTCAGTCTCATTAAAAGAAGGCAAGAGACATAAAAATAACWGTTACTGATGATTTTGGTAAAAAAGACAAACACTTCTTAAATTGTGGGAAGGCCCATTTTAATCACCAAAAATGCATGGAGGTTATCACACACCTCAGAATTGCTCYGAGGCCCTATGGTTAGCCATTCTCCTGGGCACACAGCAAGGACTGAGACAGACTTCTCCACCTCCCTCCCATCAATTGCAGTCCCCAGCCAGAAAATAATACCAGTGGAAAACTAAATAACGCACTGAAATCCCTGGAGATGTGAGGAGATGGTGGAATACAGCTAGAGCTCTGGACTGATAAAGGAAATCACTGCACAGGGGTAAGCTGGCACACAGGAATTAGAAGTGTGATAAAAATCATTCTGGGAATACCACAGGGACTGAGAAACACAAATCCCTCAAGCTCCTGGTAGAGTTATCCAATGGACTAACTCTCAAAGAACAGAGATGGAGGCGAGGGGGAGCAGCAAGGGACTGACATGGATGCCCAGCAGGCTCAGTGCAGGTCAGGGGAAGAGCATGGAAAGCGAGAGAAAAAGGACACGAGGGGAGCAACGGTTTCGGTGAGCGGCTTGAGGAAGTGCACAGAAATGGGAGCTAAGGGGGATTATCAAGGGCTCCAAGGCAGGACAACGGGAAGACCGGAGAGGAGGGACACAGCGGCTCCCCCGGGCTTTGGGGAAGGCGCGCAATGGGGTGGGCAGAGGGACCAAGGAGACAGCGGCTGCGCCCGCCGGCGACCCCGCTCACCTTCCCCGTCGCGCAGGGCAGCGGGGCGCAGCGAGGCGGCGGAGCGGGCGGCGGGGACACCCCTCAACATCCCGGGCGCGGAGGCACCGACCGAGAGCAGCACCGTGAGGGCGGCGGCGGCCGGCGGGGCCGAGGGCGCCGCCATTGCTGCCCCGCGCGCCCGCCGCTTCCGCCCGCTGCCGGAAGGCCTGGCCGTTACCATGGCAACAGGAGGCGCTAGGGGGCCGTTACCATGGAGACGGGGGGTCTTCCCCCCCTCCCTTTTGAATCTTAATTTAATTATCGTTATTTTTTCCCTGTCCAGAAGGGGAAAATATCCCTGGCGTGAGGTGTGAGGTCTCGCTGGCATCCCGTCCAGGGCTGGGTTACAGCCGGGTGTCGCCATGCACGGCCTCACCGGGTGCGGGAGGCCCATCCAGACCCATGCACCCAGCACTCCCCCGAGCCGCGGGGTCTGGCTGCTGRAATCACAGAATCMATCAGGSTGGAACAGATCTCTGGGATCATCGAGTCCAACCCGCGACTAATGGGTCATCACTAGTGACCAACTAGTCATCAACTATACCAGAGCACTGGGTGCCATATCCAGCRTTTCCATAAACACCTTCAGGGATAGTGACTCCACCACTACCCTGGGCAGCCCCTTACAATGTCTAATCACGCTTTTGATGAAGGAATTCCTCCTGATGTTCAGCCTGAACTTCCCCACACACAGCTTAAGGCTTTGTCCTCTCATCCCCCATCCTTTGTTCCCCAGGAGCAGAGTCCAAGCCCCACATGGCTAAATCCTCCTTTCAGGTAATTACAGAGAATGAGAAGGCCTCMTCTGAGCCTCCTCCAGGCTAAGCCCTCCAACTCCCTCACCCATTCCCGGTGCTCCAGACCTTTCCCCATCTCAATTCCCTTCTCTGGACATGCCCCATCCTCTCAATGTCCTTCCTGAATTGAAGGCCCCAGAACTGGACATCAATCAGCCTCAAAACCCGAGAGTTTCCCTTCAGGTGTGATGCATGGAGGGGGAGAGGAGCGTCCATGGCACGGCTTCTCCCGCTGTGTTCATACCAGGCCAAAGCTGGGTGAGCTTTGTGTTGTGTGCACTGTCTTCAATTCCCCAGCAAYACTGGCTTAGTCRTTTGYCCAGTTCTAGTCAGATCYAGGAGAGGAATTGGCAGCTCAGAAATGAAGACACTAAACTTCCTGCAGGTCTCATGGACACAGGGAGATGATGAAGTAAGGAGAACTCCATCTGATTCCTTCAGGGGAAAACTTTGTGATTATGACTATTGGCTAACTTTATACACTTAGCACTGCACTAACCACAATTGCATTGTTCTTGAGCTTATATTTGGGAATGTAGTTGTGGATATAGGAGAAAATCTGTTGACACAGTGCATCCCRCCTGGACAWGTTCCTGTGTCACCTRCTCTAGGTGCCCCTGCCTTGGTGGGTGGKAGGTTAGGCTGGATGATCTGCCAAGGTAACTTCTAACCCTCAGTGATCCTGTGGGCTCTGCTTTGAGCCCACACAGTCTGGCTGCTGGCTCACAGAATCCTGGAATGGTTCAGAYTGGGAGAGACTTTAAAGGCCACCACATTCCAAGCYCCTGCCATGGGCAGGGATGCCACCCTGTGAGGTCTCATTGACACAGGAAGGATCAGAAGAAGCCCACTTTCCAACACCACCTCTGATTTTACAAGTTGGAGAAATATCTGAAGCAGCTGGGATCATTTCCAGCCAAAGAGAAAGAGCAGAGGGTGGAAGGCCTGATTCAAAGTTTTTRATTTGGAGCATAGCACAGATCTATCAGCAGGCAGATAGACACATGAGCCTGAAACTCTCAGTTAATTCCATTTTCCATGTTTGAGAARCCTTCAGTCCCTGAGGAATGCACAAACACTGAGAGGCTCTACTCAGAGCAAAAGATCCCCCCACCTCCCCTGGCCAGRCAGCATTGTTTGGGATCTGCCCTAATCCCAACATTGCACAGACAGCCTCTGTGAGTCCCAGGTTGYCACAGAAAAGCTTATCTGGCAGGAGAAAACATTGTGGCTGGAGGAGATGAAGTTTCTCAATGACAAATCGAAAGACAGGCAGGGAGCTCAACCCTCTTTTTTTCTTTATATTTTTTCCCCCCTTTAATTAATCATTCCAGTCACTGTTTGTTTTGCAAAAACTTATTTTTGGCTATGGCAGTGGGATTTGCCTCCCGCTGCTACACCCAGGGRGAAAAGAAACAGCCCAACTTCTCTGTAATTCTGCTCAAACCATTCAGCTGAAGTTTGAGAAGGCTCCTCACTGCCTTTAAAAGGAAAACCAGGGTAAAACCTCACTGTTCCCTGGATGCATGTGCAGACTGTCCCTGGACCGAAGGTGCAACTGTTAACTTCCCAACTCTCACAAGAARGTAGTTTGACATGAAACAAGAAATATAACTTCTAAAAATAATCCGATTGAATAATCATCGTTTCTTTTGCTGTCTTCTCAGCAAACCATCACGTTTCAATGAGGTGGCTCCCAAGATAATGACCCCTCTCTTTAGAAAACTCCCCAAGTTGATATTTGATTTTGAGCATATTCAGAAACCCTGGCAAAACAACATTTGTTGTTTTTTCTTTAGGACCCAGCTTTTGGATRTTTTCTCTAACTCCATTCAGCATCTGCCACAAATGGTGATGCACAACTGGGGTACCGAGAGAAATAGGGGGACTGCTGGTGCGGAAAGGCGGGCGTGCAATCCCCCCATTKCCCTCTGCGCACCCTGACAGTGCCCTGTGCGTTTATTAATTAAACTCATTTAATCCTTTGACGCGATCTCCGCTGCGCCCGCACAGCCTCGCACCCCCTCCCCTTGGTACAATCCCCCCCTCCCGCTGTACCTTGGCACGGCCCTTCTCACCTCTCCCCCCCCCACTTCCCCAGCGAGTGGTAKGCGCCGCGCGCGCTGATTGGCCGTCCGTCCCCGCAGTCCGCGCGAGCTGCGGGTGCCTCAGTGTGCGCGCGGCCGGCGCGGCGGGCGGGTTGGTCYCTGCGCTCCCTTCGCTCCCTCCGCCCCTCAGCGCCGCCGCCATGGCTTCGGGTAGGTGCCGCCAGCCCGCCGGGCTCAGCGGGCAGCGGCGGCTCCGCTTCCCGCCGCCGAGCGCGGGCGCGGTGGGGCGCGGGAGGGCGGGAGAAACGAGCGCCATGTGGCGCATGTGGGAAAGGCCGCGGCCATGTTGCGGGGGACGCACCCGCTTTTCCCCTCACGCCCCCCCCCCCACCCGCTCCGCTCGGTGAGGGGGAGGGGAGCCACGCCCCCGCCGGTGGCCCCCGTGGGCACGCCCCCTTCGGCCGAGGCCACGCCCCCTCCCCGGGGAGCCCCGCTGCGCGAGCCGCTCGGGTCACGCCCCTTTACGCGCGGGGGCGTGGCCGGACGGGCGCGCTCCCTGCCCGGATCGCAATGGGGGGACCGGGGTGGGGGGGCAGGGTCCCCTTGGGGTCCTGTGCTCGGATGCTGCGTGGGGTGTACTCCAACCTTTTGGGGTCTGGTACGCCCCCAGTTTGTGTGAACCGCCCCTTTGGGCTGTGCCACAGCTTCCTCCAGTTTGAGGTGTGAACCACATTTTGGTTCATTCCCCCCAATGTAGGCCCCCCATTCTGGACTACGTACACCCACAGGTGTGGGATGTGGACCGCATTTTGGTTCATGCCCCCAGTGTAGGCCGCCTGCCTTYGGCTTGTGTATCCTTCTCCCAGGTGTGAGATGTAAGCCACCTTTTTTGGGTCACGGCCCTTCCCCTTTGGAGCTTGGGTTGTGGTTTCCCCGCCACACACCCCGGTATGAGATGTGGACCCCCGTTTGCACCTCCCCATAACATGGTTTGTGTGCTCCCCCATGGATCAGCACCACCATGGAATGCAGGTGCCCCCTGCCTTGGGTCGTGCYCCCCCTTAGCATGGTACATGCCCTCCCCAACGCATCGCAGGGGAGCCACCCTTGTGTCCAGGTATGTGCTGCCTCTGCTCTGCACTTTGTGTGCTTTTCACACAGTGAAGTGAGAAAGCTTCACACCCCACTGCCGTGGGCTTAAAAACGCCCTGGCTGTGATTGTTTTCCAGGGGGGGCTTTAGTTGAGCATGGAAGCAGGATCTGCTGTCCCGGCTGACCTGACACAGCCCAGCTTCTCCTGGGGCCTCAGCGAGCACATARTGCTGCTGTTTTTTCATCCCCTTTGAGGTGGGGGTGCTTGAGTTCCCCCCGGACAGAGAAGCCTTGGATAGGTGTGGATCCTCGTGCATCCATCCCAGAGTGGGAGCAGGAATTCCAAGGCTGTCCGTGCTTTGTGGAGCGAGCCATGTTTTGTTATGGTCGAGCCATTTTGGCGTTGTCTTGTGCTGCATGTGTGAGTGATAGACAATACAAAGCAAGGGGTGTTACAGGAATCGTTTCACACAAGGAGCAGTTACATACCAGGAAAAGCAAATGTGTCCAAAGGTACTAAAGTGAGTCCAAATCATGAATTTTTTTACAAAATGAGTAAAGCTTGGCAGTAAACTACACCCACTTTTTCCCCATCCCTCAGCTACTGACCAGTCAAGCACCTGAATGTCTCCTGTGTTTTTAGTGTTGTTCAAACATGAGGTTCTTTTTATTTTGAGGATACTGAGAAGCRGTGCTGCCTGTTTATATGAAATACTTGATATGAGAACGTCAGTTTTCAAATGTGCAGGCAGCAGTTCCTTCTATCTTAGGAGGATTAAATCCCCTGAGCAGTGCAAGGTGATTAGGCTGCTATGTCCCACTTCATCCACAGGAAATTTTTCCATGAACTTTTTAAACATTTAAAATAAAAAGTCAGTGTAGGAATTTCTAGAATAAACTGTTATTTCCAGAAATCCTTACAGACTTTTGTACCCATTGAGCCCACAAAAATAAATCGATCAAAGGTCTGTAAGAGGTCTAGCAGAGGATGTAGAAAACTGTATAAATAAAGGAAATTCCTCTGATTGTGTGTTTTCATATTTTCTGGGCTCCTTATCTGGTTTTGCTTTCAATTTTTTCCCAAAATGTTGTGGTTTGGTGGAAGTTGGTTAGGGAGGAACTGAGGAGATTAAATCTAGTTCTTAAATTTATAGCTGGTAACATCCTTTAGAATTCTTCCTGATACAACCATTAGTATCTTTAATT